ATCTGTACCTTTGCCAGAACCGGCGGTCGATGTTTCGCAACTTGATGCTCTGAAGAAGATGCCCATCCAAGTTTCTGACCTGCCGAGGCATCCTGTGAGACCAGGCCAGAAGTGCACGCACGCAGTTGCGAGATGGCGAGCATGAACTGACAGTTTGCCATCGGGTCGTCCCTTCGGTCCTTTCGAATCGAAAAAGGTGTTCCACACCTCTTCACTCCTGCAGAACGTTGCTCGTTTCTCCAGCCGCCAGCACTTCCCTTCTTCTGGGACCAGCGATGCGGCTGAACAGCACTGAGTGCAAGCGGACCGGAGACCTTGGAGATGCGGGGGGGTGGGGGGGCAGCTCCAGGCAAGCTGAACAACAAGAAGCCTGGGTGCTGGGCCGATGGCGTGCACGCGCAGTGCCGCTTCTGTGGAGAGGAGCCCTACACAGGTGGGAGTCTTCAGACACTCCTTGCGCGTGTGACCGGAGATCGCGTGCATCCACTCTTTATAGTCACCAGCTTCACTTGCACCTGACGGTTAAGAATACGCACAAGTATCACACTGCAGGCATTCCGTGCCCTGCAAACGCCATCGTTCCGAGTGCGATGACTGTGTCTGCGCAGCATGGGCCGTGAGGCTGCGAGTGGGGCTCATTTGTTTGGCATTCCAACCGAGGTCTGCAAGTTTGACAACCCTCCTGTGACTCCCTTCTTCTGGGACTCCTCTTGCTTCATGGGCATGAAGGGCTGCCTGGCAGACGGCAAACACATTGGATGCAGATTTTGCGGAGCAGGCGAGGTGACTGAGACTGCTCGTACAAAGCCATCATTGGCCATGGCTGAGCTGCTGCGTCCGCCAGGCAATTACTCTGACATTGAGTGCCCTGCGAGTGTCTGCAACTTCGCCAATGAGCCCTGGACGCCCTACTACTGGGATGACTTTTGCCAGTGGGGCATGCTGGGACCGTGCTTGAAAAACTCTCGGAGTACTCGCAGCATGTTTGCGCATCTACTGTCTCGCTCGGCATGTGTACTCTGTTGGGCAGGATGTAATGCGGACGGCCTTCACATCCAGTGTCGCTTCTGTGACAAGGCTTGGCCGAAGTTTCGCGACGAGATCTGACGAGTCTGAAGCAGTTTCTGGATCCATCCAAACCCTTTTTTTGTACCGTTCCTTGCTGGGACGACTGCGTGCTGAGACACTGCCCGTTCAAGCTTTCGGGTTTCACGAATGCCCCCTTCCCCTCAAACAAAATCCAACGAAGCCGTATCGCAGTTTTCCAAAGACGTGTACCACATCTCAAAGAGCCTTTCTGACTCTAGCCTAGAACCCAGTGCTCGGCTACGTTTCTTGCAGCTTTCAATGTTCTGGACGGGATCACACGTCTCAGCGCCCTAGAGTCAAGCAATCGTCATGCCCAGGTGCCGTTCCAGGTCATTTCCTGCCCAGAAAAAGCTCGACCAGCTTACCCTGACGGGTGTCTTGATTGTCCTAGCTTGGCAGGGCTGCAGGGCTTAGCAGCATCAGTTCAGACCTGTCAGCTGCATCATTTGTCGGACGGCAGCCATGACGAGCAGTCCCTGTGTGAGGAAGTGCTGGTTTCCCGTAAGGGCACCTCAGGGCCAAAGCAGCGCGCTTGCATACAAGCAGTCAGCTATAGTCAGCTGCTTTCTGAGACTGGCCGCACCAGAGGTCATTTCTGGGATGAGACGTGCAAGTGGGGCCGCACGGGATGCTGGGCTGATGGAGTGAATCGCCAATGTCGATTCTGCGGCAGTGGCCCTTACGCTTCCCAGCTTTGCAAATTTCTGCTTCTTGAGCCTTGAGTTCGCGTCAGCTCTTAGCACAGGCGAACATTCCCTGCCCGAATGGAACTGAGACTGAGACTATCCCTTGAATCGTGGCTCGCCTGAAGTTCCCTCTTCTGGGTGGCAGCTGAAGCTTCCGGACTCGCAGGGGGTTGTATCACGCACGGAGGTATTGGCTTTCTGGCGTCGCGGGAGTGCAACAGTGAACGCCGTTTATCTTCTTTCGAACTCTTCGGAGAGCTTTGCTGGGAGGCCCCAGCCTCTTCCATTTTGTCGCAAAGATCGCTCTCCAAATCCTCGGTTTGTTGTCTGCAGCTGCAGGCTTCTAGGGCTTATAGACAGAATACCCGTGCAGAAGGTCCGATGAGCCACAAGTGCTCAACAAATCGATTGGTCACTTGCCGCCAGCATGGAGCTCATGTTGGCAGGATTGTGAAGTCGGCAAGCTGGCATGGCTAAGCTGCAGCTGGGCAAAAACACACATCTGGCATGATAAACCAGCTTGTATGGATCCTGCCAAAAGCCTGGGCTCCACACGACTGAACACCTGTATAGCGCATTCCGATCGGCACAAGATGCAGGCTGCAAGGTCACGTCTGTACAGCACTTGCATGACCCAGATGTGTCATTGATTTTGTGGCCGTCATGCTGGCACGAAATCCAAGAATTTGGAAACGCAGCGATGGTCTGGTCACAATTCATGCGTAGGTCGTTCAGGTGATGAAACGTTGCGGCCGTGAGGCACCTCACGCGCTGCGATCATTTTGAGAACTCACCTGGCCGAAGTGGCGCGCCCGTGAAGTGGCTCGGCGCCACACAACAAATCGACTCGACACGAAGAGGCGACACAAGCAAAGCTGAGGTCTGCCCTTTTCTGCAAGAAGTGAGTCAACTGGTTCTCCAATGCTCGGGTGCAGATGAAGACCGCCCGCTGCTGCCAGGTGATGCTTCGGAAGGCCTGTGCCATTCCTTGTAATTCTGCTTTGTGCAAAAGCCGAAGTCGACACAAGCCTCAGTCAGTTCTACCCCTTTCGCACATGCTCTCTCCGGATAAGCCCTTGACCAGGGTCGGGTAGCGAGCGTGCCGCCGGAATTGGTTCAGCGCTGGCCGTTTGGATCCCAGCGGCATCATCCCGAACATTCGCATGTGTGCCGAAGTTACCTGTTATCAACTTCGTCCGGCTTCGCACGATGTGGAATCCCAGACAGCAAGGGTTAGTTATTGTACGAGCAAAGAGTTGAAGTCTGGTACCAAGGTTGGTGTCTTTGGGGGCTCGGTGCGCGGGCCTTAGTTCTATCCTGGTTGCCTCTGCGAAGGTCGTGGAGGTCGATATACTGCTTTAGTCGCCCCTGTGATTTGCGAGTTGCTGAATCCTAGCCATTTGTTTTACCCACTAGAAACTGGAGGAAAGGCAGTCGAAATTCTGGCTGGAAAGCCTAGAGCACCTCAGAAGTTTGTTCCAGCTGTAACCAGGCTCGTCCCCTTCAAGTTCATCCCGCCGGAGTCAGCTGGCCTGACAGCCATACCTTCCTTCGGAATAGGCCCGTCGTGGGCAAATGCGCATGTGGTGAAACGGGGCGACTTCCGGCAAAATGCTGGCTGGCGGATACAGATCGCAGGAGTGCAGGTACAAGGGTCTTATTTAGACTGCACCTGGTAGCATTCAAGTAACATGCGTAGGACATGCCATGCGTTACAAGGGCATACATGGCACACAAGGGCCGCCCTTTGTGGGCTCGCTTGCCTTCCAAACGGGACACAACATCAAGACAAAGGCCACAGCCCGTATCTTCGCTTCGTGCTTGTCCAACATGTCTTTTTTCATGCCTGCTTAATTCTTTGAGGGTGTTCGGCTCTGTTTGGAAGTTTCACTGGGGCAATGTGATGGTCACACCAAAGTTTTCGTGTCTGTCAGTTGAGTCCGCAAATTGTGTTGAGTATCCAAAAACAGTCTGTACCCTTTCCGGCGTAAACTTGAGATGCCACACACCCGCTGCCCTCCACCAAATCTGACCTGCTTGGTGAGGCGCACTGGTGGCGGGCGTGCTGGTGACCTTGGCATACTGGCCACTCGGCAAAGAAACGCCAACGAGCGAGAGGCGAGAGGGCGGAGTGGCCTCAGCCTGTCTTGGCAGCCGAGGAAAGGCATCAAGCAGGAGCAGAGCGGCAGAGTCCTCCTTGAAAGATCTTACTTTTGTTTGACTGTACCGACGTAAGCAGGAGAAAGACTGGCCGACGGTTGCCACGGATCAAGTTCTGGCAGGTTCCCCTTTGACACGAAAGGACCCTCTGAGCCTTTGCCTTGCGCAACCCTTGCGAGGCTTAGCAAGCGGATTAATCTGGAACGCTGGCAATGTCTGTCGGGGTCCGTTTTTGTGGCAACAGAGGCCTCGCCACGGACTCGCGCTGTCTGTTGCCTTAAGGCTCAGTGATTGCGCAAAGTCCACCATTCTCTTTGCCGTGCCCCAGCGCTCGGTTGCCCATTGTAGACGATTGGATATCGCTGCAGCTTTGAGACAAGGTCAACAGAGCATTCGCGACTTAGAAGTTGTGCAGGTACGGCGTGGCCTACCCCATCCTACAGTGTGCTCTGTTTTTTGGCGGGCTGTGGGGTATCTACGCCTTCAAGGCCAGTCGATTAGATACGGTCCTTGTCATGCCTGTGTTCACGAAGCTGGGACGAAACGCACCAAGCCCAGCCGAAGCATCTCCGGACAAGCCATTCGCTCTCCAAAATCCTTTCGAGACGTGGGCGCAGGAGCTTTGAGATCACAAGGCTCTGTAGCTACTGTGGTTCTGGAGATCGGTTGAGATCGTTGTGCCGCCGTGGTGACGCAAGTGCAACTCACGGAGTGGCCTGGAGTCCCAAGTCAGAAGTTCATGTGCGACTGCATTCTGCAGGAGATTGTGGGTTCCGCAGTTGCCGTTTTCTGGTCAGGAGCTGCGGGCTCAGAACTCACAGGTCCGAAGTGTGCCGAGCTTCGCGTTCCAGTCATGGTGAACAGGCTGTGACCCTGGCGGTGGGCATAGTGCTCCTGAGCCTCTACGGCCCGTCGGGGTCTGCGTAATGTGTTAGTGACTGTAATGTGAGAGACCGCGCGAGACGAGCGGGTGCCCTGTGCAACAAAAAGCTCGTGCCTGAACCTCTTGGTGGTTCAGGGCGGGCCCCATCTCGGTGCTGCCTGTTCGCATGGTGCCATGATGAGGTGCTCCTTGGAAAAGAGACGGCAGAAGCCTTCGGCGCGGAGATGAGTTCACCCCCTACGGCATGGTTCCCCGGCCACACGAACCGTGCGACTAAACGGCTTCGGCATCTCAGGGCGCTGCCTGGAGGAGCAGGTCCAACGTCGTGTGGCCAAGCGGGTCTGTCTGCCGAGCTTTGAGCAGAATGGTGCAATCCGAATGGCATGTCTCACTGCCCATCGGTCCTAGTCAATTCCGAAGCCGAAGTACTCGTACTGGTAGCTGAGAAAGGCAACTTGCATCGCTGAATGCCAGGCACGCATGTCTACCGGCCAGGAGCTGCAGGAGATAAGCCCGAGCCCAAAGATGCCGAACATTTGGATGACAGGCTCAAGGTTGAAACCATTCGGAGGGGACCTTACCTGGCAATTCGCACGCATTGGTGCTCGCATCAAAGATCCCGCAGCCAGGCCCATGAATTGGTTCCACGGGCAGGCTGTTATACTATGCCCGACAAAGCGAGCCGTCAATGTTCATTTCCCCCACACCCTATACTACTAATAATACAAGCCCGGATGTGGCGCGAACAAGAAGACCATGGTGTTGCAGTTTGAGGTGTTTCCATATTTCGTTGTGCCGTTATGTAGACAAGCTACAGCCGAGCAATCTCGCGCTTGAGGTGCGCTAGAGGAGTCCAGTGCCCAGCAAGTTCAACTGCAAGTATTTGCAACCTTGACACGCTGTGCTCGAGCAGACAGAGCAGGTTTCCCGAAGATTTCGCTGGCGTGCTGGACGATGGATATGGGCCCCTGGCTCACACGAAGCCGACTGCATCACATTGATGAAGACCGGCTGATGCACGGCTCTTGCTGCTCAGGTAGTCTTTGCACCGGGCGCTCCATGAGAGCTGACAGCACGCTTCTTTCCAAAAGAGTGTGTGCAGCAGAAGCTTGTTGGGAATGCAGCGGTGTGAAGCCTTTTGCCCATTGCTGACAATGAGCGGCCGAGTCGTCAGACTCAGGAGCCATCACTTGCCTTGCGCTTGCATGAACCCCATCTCCTTAAGATGCTCCCGGCTCGAGCACATTGGCCAACTGCACACCATCTGCTCGTGCACTTGCTTGCAAGGCTTCCCCATTTGGCAAAAGAAGCGTGCGGCCCGCATTGTGCTCGGCACAGGTGACAGATGGGCAACTGCGGGCTTGGAGCTTGGGCTGACGATGAAGGAGAGCTGACACAGGAGAGGCAAGGACGTGCTTGAGCATGTCGTCTCTTGTGTTGAGATATATCTCTGATAGATATTAGTGTAGTGACGGCGGTGAGTTTCAACCACTGGATGCAGGCTTGTGGAAGCTGTGGAGGAGATGAATGTTGATGAGGCAGCAGTTCTCCATCCCGTCAAAACCAAAGTGTTTTGCAATGCTGCGATTGCGAGTCAGCCTCTGGTAGTGTGAGGTTGAGAGGTGCCTCAATGGCGGAGTGCCGGTCAACAAGTCAATTGATTCAAAGGCCGGGCAACATCCACTTGTCGCCCCCCAATTTATCGAGATATTTCTGCTGTAGCCTCCGGTGCATCAGGCCTTACTGGTAGAGTCCTGCATCCACGACCTTTCATCGTTTTAGACGCGTCTCCATCTTTTCCTCGACACGTCTTCTGTTTTCTCTAGTCCTGAGCGCAGCGAGGGTTTGCACATGCAAGGATCAAATCGTGGTTTGCTTCCGGAGAAAATCAGAAGAATGAGGGTAGATGCCAGTGGAGAAGTCAACGCACCCCGTGTCTCCCTCTGCCTTTCCAGGGGCACACGCTGCTCGACAAATTCGCAGCTGAGCATGCAGCGCCGCTCGGTGCGAGTTTCAGGCTGATCTGGAAAACCATCATGGCCTGTCCGAACTGAGCTTCACCTGAAAGGAGTACTTGCAACGGCATCTGATTTACTCAGGATGCTGCGGGATGCGCTTCACTATAGAGGCACACCGGGAGAGGCCTGGTCTCGAAAACGAAGGAACCTGAAAAAATCCCTTAGACGGCTGGCAAGGCCACGAAGCTGCTGGTTGAGAAGCAGGCCTTGAGTGGAAGTCTCATTAGCTTTGAGCATATTCTGACGTCGGTGCCGCTTTGGCTTCGCTAGGAAGCTGCGGCCCAGACTTTGAAAGTGCTGCTGCAGCATGGCGCCATCCTCTCGGGGCGGTCGGTGCTCGCCTTACTCCAAGATGAGGCCTCCCTTTGCTAACGTTGCCTTGCGCCTTGTAGACCTTGGAAGGCCGCGGCGGCACCCTGAGCAGAGCTGCAAGCGTGGCCTGGCTCTACAGATGGACAGGTTTGGTGCAAGCCACAACAAGCGATGGCTTCAGATAATCCTTGCCAGGCTCTTGTCCAGGCGTTGCGGCAAGGCTGCGGGGGGCCAAAGTGCCCCCCAATGCCATGGGTAGAATCACACTTGGGTCCAATCGCGGAGAAAACGGCTTCCCGGTCACATCATTTGCGAAAGCCTCCTGAAACTGGCAAAGCTGCTAGCAGGGGTCATGTGAGAAGTTGCATTGCATCACAATGTTCTTGCACATGGGTTCGCCATTGGCTGCTCTGCCTGACAGCTGGGATTGCTTCTGCCAGTGCGACTGCAAAAGCCGCAAGTGCAAGAACAAACATGACCCTGAAGCCGCTGCAGATCATCGGGACAAATGTTGGCGCAAAGCGGTTTCGTGCGCTTTCGCCAGGGCTTGCCAAGCTGACAGTAATCGACGACCACTGTACGCGTATGTGTGCGTGCACGGTAAGACTTGAGGCATTGAACGAAAGTAGTGGTATCAGAGATGTGTTGAGACCTGTGCATCCCGATGGCATGGTCTCGTGGCCTTGAGATTGTGAGACGAGGATCTCGACCAGTGGGCCCGGCAAGGCAATAGCATGTTTGAACATGTAGGGCTTATTAGGCTTACTATATACAGAGTATAGTCTTCCAATGTTTGGAGTCTATGCAGGCACAGCAATTTGGTTTTGTGGAATGGTCCTCGCATTTTTGAAAATAATAAGCGGCTGAAAGAAACACGTGTGAAGTAGAACATGTTGCGGCGCAGGAGGGCAGGTATGATTGCAGGAGGAATGCTGTTTGGCCGGAGTCATCCAATCTAGGCGTTAGTGCAGTTTGTGCGCTTGCCGTTGAATGGCTGGAACACTGTGGGCGCCCAGCAGGACCAGGTCGAAAACTACGTATTCAATTTAACTATGCGATCTCGTTGTATACGCCCCCAACCACAAACCCAACTGCCCTTCCCTGTTTGCCTCGATTGATAGGCGTTTTGCTGTTGGGGATACTTGCTTGGATTATTATGTGTATATGTTCATGTCTGAGTGATTCTTTGGTATGATCAGTAGGAGCCCGTCACCTCACCCAAACTTTGGTGCAAAAGATTTTGTTGTTCATGTTTTTATGCTGCGTTGGGAGTGCTTGTTTTGGACAACTAATGTTTTTTAACACCCATTTGACCCCTCCAGTCGCCTTAACATGGCTCGCACACTTCCATACCTGTTCTGGTTTTCACATGTATGACGGGTTCACCATGGGCAAGTCTCATCTCTGTCTTGCTATGACCGTATGCACATTCTCTTGTCGGTAGGTGACCTCGGCCCGATCCAATTCGGACAGCGCGGCAAGGGCGCTAATGCAAAACACAACATACGGACAACTTCCCACACATTTTTCATCCAATCAGCATGTGTTATATGTGTTCCGTCAATCGCGCTCCGTGCATGCGGGGAGCGGGGAGGCAATGGAGAGGACAGATAACACTCCGGGCGTGGAGATGGGTGTGGGACATGCTTCCAAGATACCTGAATCAACCTCGAGTGACGAGTGAGATTCAGAGAAGATTCAGAGAAGCTTTGATTATCTTCATATGCCTGTGAGATGAAGCTGGAAGGCTGGAGTGGCGAGGGGTATGATGGGGCGGCAAGCCCGCAATCAGAAAGCTCGGAGTGTCAATCGGGATGCTTACAGGCATCTTGAGTGGCAGCCAAATCATTCGTAGAATATGATTGACAAGCCTGGTGATCTTGCGGATGATTGACGTTTCCATTGGATGAATTCTAATGAAGCTCTTCAGCCAGACATGCCGTGACCGGAAGGTTTAGAAGAGCAGAATGTTGGAAGTGTCAGGCGAAGTGTCCAACCAACATCACTGCAGGGAGTCTGGCACCAGCCGGTTTCGGCTAGACAGGCGCCATGCGGCCATGCTCATGGCCATCACACAAGCCGGAGGCTGCAGCAATCCCTTGTTTGTGCCTGTGTGGGTTTTCGCTGTAAGCAGACAGATGTTGAACCCAGGTTCCAGAAAAAGCTGAATTCTCAATGCCACGAAGTGTTTGTACGGCTATGGGCTTGGCATCAGTGATACCAATCCGTGTTCTTGCACCAGGCTTTGTGGTGCAGGTGAGCAACCATTAGCAATCGCCGATGCAGCTATGTTTTCAGCCTGGAAACATGACTTTAACTTCGCGCCGGTGGGTGGAAAGGGTTCAAGAGGGAGAGCGAAGTTAAAAAATGTCGACACAAAGCTTACACATGACCTTATTTTGTTGCACATTCGGTGCGGGGAAGGCCCTGCAAACAAAGGCTGCATGCGAGTTCAGGTAGGCTTGCACTCCATATCATGACACCCCTCAGCGATTCATTAGTCACCGTAGTCACCACATAGATCACCCCAACGGCAGGAGAGCGAGAGAGAGAGAGAGAGAGAGAGAGAGAGAGAGAGAGAGAGAGACAGCGAGAGGTGCGACAGCTACGGACCGGTGCGTGCTTGTGGCGGAGGGAGCTTAACCTTTCCCTCTTGTCTTTGTGGTAGAAGAAGAGTGTGATGGGCAGGCATGCAGGGCAGTACGGCAAGAAGACAGATAGCCCGCATTGCCGGCTGGTGGAGTAGGATTCGAGGGACGAGAAGAAGGAGCTCTCAGCTATTATCTAAAGAATCGTCACGGCTTCTTCAGGTCGGAATTGAACGTTGAGCCAGCAGATGTCGGTCTCCTGTGCCAGGCTTGTCGCATTCGCCTTCGCTTGAGCGATTGAGCTCCAGCAGACCTGCAGACCTTCGCAGAGCGGCCCCAGGCACATCACACTCAGTGTGGCTCCGTTTGACTCACTGGCCTTTCGTTGTCGCAAGCCGGAACGTTCTTCTGTGCCTCTCAGGTTGTACCTTCTAGACATGGGTGCGGCAAGCATACCTCGGCCCGACGGACTGCTTTGCACTCGGTGGCACATTACAGAGCATCTTTCTTACGTTTGCGCACTCATGTTCTCGAGCTCATCTTGTCGAACTCAGCTTTGGCTTATGCAGCAACATAGCTCTCGCTGATCAACAAGGATCTGCACATTCGCACATTTTATACATGCACGACAGTCCGCAGTCGCCTGCAGTCCGAACAAAGCATCCATTTCGAAAAGATGTGCAAAGCGTCGCCGGAGACATGCCATCGCTCGAGGGTCCTGCAGCAGCTGGAGACCTGGGTGTGCCCTGGCGCACGTGAGCGCTGCTTTTCAAGACTGTCATGCTGTGATGTTTCAGCTTGCGTCCGAGGCAATTCCCAGCCCATGCTCAGCTTCTTTTTGTACAGAAGCTGGCCCTGGAGCTCTCGGAGCAGTTGGACGTGGCAGGCGATGCCTCGTCAAGGCAGTTTGCTAGCCCGGAGTTCTACTATGTTCTACTCCTCCGCCAACGAACGGAGTAAGGTGCGGCGCGGACACCGATCGCAACGAGCATCAACAGCCGTCAGCATTCCCGCATGCTGCCTCGGTGTACGTTGCCACGGCACATGGCGAGCACTGTTCTCAGAGCTTACGGTGCACTTGCTTTTGTGGTCTGCTGGCCTGGAGCTTTGCAGCTTTGGTTTGCCAAAGCCATTGCTGAAGGCTGACCGCTTCCACCCGGTCGGGTGCATCGGAGGACAGCTTGGAAGAGCAGCCGCCGAGTTGCAAAGACTGTTCTACCGCCGTTTGTCGCTTTTGCTTCCAGCTACCGGAGACTTGCAGCATTTAAGGCACGACGACCTTTCAGATCGCAATGACCATCCACAGCAGCCTGCATTGCCGCATGCTGCCTTGGTTGGCATTGCTGGTGATGAGCACTGTTCTAAGAGCTTTGCTTTGCCAAGTCATCGCAACAATGGAGTCGTGCCGTTCGTGCAATCGAGGTGTTACACATGCCAGAGGAGCTCAGGCCGAATTTGTCAGTCAGAGTTTCTGCAGATTAGTCACTTGTCATTCCAACAATGGTTGTCGCTGTGCAACAGACGGATGTGTTGTTATGAAGGCCAGCATATGCAGCACATACAGCGCACTGACGACACACATCATCGTCTCTGTGATGTCACGATTATAGCAATCGTGGTAACCAGTCTTGCTTTTTAAGTGCTGCGGTTAGTCTAGCGTGTATGTATGTCCAGCAGCATAAACATGTACCGGCGGATTCAAGCCTATCAAGTCGATAAGTGAGCCGCTGCGGGCCGTCGCTCACTATTTTCTGAGTCGCTGTGTACTTTTACCTCTCCAAACTCTTGAGAATGGAACCGGGCAGTGGGAGTGGCGGTGGGGTGTTGTGGGTGGCAGGCGAGCAGTAAAATGCAGTTACTTTCGCAGATTCCGAGATAGGAAATTAAAGAGACAGTGAACGAACAGACCACAGGAGAGAGCAGCGTGACAACGATTGCCGGAAGAGCAACGGTACCGGGAAATTGTCAAGATGTCGCCGGAGAAGCGGACACCAAGTTGAATGAGTAAGTCAACTTGCAAATCTAAGAAGTCACTTGGGGCGAACACCCTCCAAACCAATAGTTTCCGAAGTTCTAGGGGCCCTAGTGCTTACATGTCGGTACTGTGAATCAAAGCGGGCAAAAGTTCAAAAGACGACGACAACTGGAGACACATGGCTCCTGGAACAGACAGCCACCGTTTCACGCCGACAGTAGCACAATGGACCCCGACACCGATGCACTTCATGGAGGTGGAGGTGTTCAGGCTTCGCGGTGCCAGCTTCAGACGTTCACATTTGAATGCTTTTGGCCCGCTTCTCAAAGCTTCGCCCAGTTGGTTAGGTGCGTCCGTCGTTTGTAGGGTTGGACTTCACCGGGAAAGGCCGAAGATTTCTAGGGCCGGGCTTCGCCTCGTTCGTAAACCGAAAACCCAGGATGCGTAGTCTCAGTCAAGAGTCCCCAGCTTGAAGAGAACGACTTGCCCACCAAACTTCTTAGTGGAGTATGTGCGGCCTCCTGCAAAAAACGGCGGCTGGTGTAATCTGTACTTGTGCCTTGAACTTGAAGCCTCGGAAAGGGCTCTGGGCATGTTCGCCTGCCAGACTAGGTGACGAGGCTTTCAATCACTTGCAGCATTTGTGGACTCCAGGCTCTGCGTTGAATTTTTGCAGCAAGTGGTGCCATCGCTCAGCGCGACGCAGGACTCTGACGAACTACATAACTACATGTCCAAGCAAAAGGGCATGATCCTCAAACTATTTGTCAAGATTACTTGAACAGTGTAAGGCCGTGGCCCTCACGAGCCCTGCCCCCCAGAAGCCCACGGCACAGAATGTTACAGCTGAGCTTGTATGAACTCTCTTCCCACGAGCAGGTGGGCAGTGCACCACAATGGACAAGTTGCGAGCTCCGGAGGCGCAGAAATGGGTCGACGGTGCGGAAAGCAGAAGTCCTACAGGTCGCCGCGAGGTGTAAAATCTACCATAATCTACCCCAGCCGTCTGCGGAAGGCTAGTTAAGCGGCATCGCAAGACTAAGAGCCATGGACACCCCAAGTTGCCCGTCTTGCTCCAAATCACACTCCTCGGAGGATGACTTGGAGAAGCCGAGAGCTGGGAAGCCCAGAGACCAGCTGGCCGGCCAATGACACGTATTTCAGTTTGGCTTTTGCCTGCGAGGAGGAGCGCGAGAACGAATCTCCAAAAGCAGTGCAGACACTTATCTTAAGCCTGCTTGATGCTGCGAGCTGTAATGTACATGAAGCTTTGGTCTCACTACAGGCGAAGGGGTGCCTGCAGCCCAGGTCTTCGAAGGAAGAGCCGCTGACGATGAAAGCTCATGCCGGAGATGTCAAGGTCGCTGTGAGGTTTACAAGCGCTCGATCAGTCGGCAGTGCTTAGCAGCGCACTCGCTCTAAGCGTGGGATGCTGTTTACGGAAGGCTGAGTCGGGTTCTACTCGGTCGGGCTCGTCGGAGGATGATGACTGGGAGAAGCAGCCGAGTTGCAAAGATCTTGATCTGCGCAGTTTGTCGCGTCCGAGTCCTTCAGCCGCTTGAACTGTCGCCGCAAGGTGCAGCGAAGTTTCAGATGGCCAAGAGCCAGCATTGCCACACGCCACCGTTGCGGGCATTGTCACCGAGAACGGCGAGCACTGTTCTCAGAGTGACCGCAAACTTCTAAATCAGATTCGTCTATTCTCGGCCTGAGGATGCCTGAGGTCACTTCGAACCTCCGAAAACGAAGACTCCAAACCCAAGCCTGAATTCCAGCTCTGTTTTACCTGTAGCGGCCATGGTTGTGAATGTGTATCTTCCTGTACCGGCACTGTCGGGCTCTTGTGCATACGGTGTAGCTTCGCAGTGCATTGGGAAAAGTCCGACCAACTTCAAGTTGGTAGCGGAGCCGGTCCCCTTGGTGGACTGGCCGAGCGGGACCGAGTAGCAGGTAGACTCGTGAGGCTTGGGCGAGCCTTATATCGACCCCTGCGCAGACTCCCGAATTCACCGTCTGCCTTTGGTCATGTCAGTCGCGGGACTTCGGTTTTCTCGATCCTCCTACTCTAGTAGTCCTTTGGAGACTAGAAGCGGCAGTGGTAGTTACATCTATGACGGGTCGCCCAATACTTTCCATGACTGGGAGTTTAGACGTCCATGAGGCTTAGACTGTAGAAAGACACGATTGTGCGAAAACGAAATCGCCGGTCAGGGGCGACAGCGGCGACAGCCGCACTGAGGGCAGCAAAACCCGACTCCGGCTTGTGCCCTGTGGACAGGCCTGACATGGAAGCATCAGCCGCAGGTAGCGGATCTGCTGCGAGACCGCGTGCATCCACCCCGAAGTCAGATGACTCGTTCTGTCAAGAGCATCGCCGCTGCACTGCCATTTTTTCCATTCTCAGCGGTAGTGTCCTCTTCGAACGCTCACCTAGCATGAATTCAACTCACTAAACAAAAGTGAAACAGTTCACGCAACCGTGTGCATCCCTTCGGAGCCAAAACTAAATCCACAGGCGCCAAGCCATTGAAAGGCAGGGCCGAGGGCATGTTGAATGCCCGGACAGTGAAGGCTGATGGGACGTGCGACTGCTTGAGCAGCAGAGATAACACACTGCGCACACGCTGCCTCAATCGAGACCGCGTACGCCGTCGCCTCTCTAACAGAGAGACTGACAGGTTCGAACGGAGAAAGGAGATGCTGCGGCAGAGCAGCTAGCTCTGCAGTAAACGGGTCTCCGGTAAGGGCCAAGGGGAGCTTGCCGATGGGGCCCCACACAGGACAGTCCAATCAGTCTGGGGTCGACACACGAATGAGCTGCTTGGTGTCTGCAATGAGGTCAGGGTCAAGCAGGAGCAACATGTTTTGCGCAGCTTCTGCGCCAGTCGCTGTTCGGGGCCAAAACCGCCCACCGCTCAACGGTAGCTCGAAGTACAGCCAAGGGTTCGATGCAACCTTCAATGGCCTCCCTGATGCATGAATCCTCTGCGCCCTCCAGACCGGATAACTCCTCCAGGAGGGCCCTATGGTAGTCCCCTGACCGGTCCTCACTTGGGAGGGGACTCAGATGCCCGCTACACGGGGCAGGCGGTGCCAGGACATGTGCCTTAACATTAAGACTGGCCTGGGTGGGCTGAAAGGCTCCCCACGAGGCCACACATCGTGGGGTCCCAGTCAGATGCCGTCTCAAACGCCCTAAGCTCGAAAAGAGTTTACCGCAGGCCCTGCACACGCAGTCCTCAGGGAGGAGGTACGCGTGGCAGCGATACCCGTGGCATCGCGCCGCGTGTCCAGCCCACGACGTCCTGCTAGGGTAACTCCTGCGACATGGAATGCACGCTTCGGTGCATCGGGGCGCATCCGCACTCGCAGGAGGAAGTTGACTGTGGGTCAGTTTGCTCAAGGCCCGATGTAGGCCGTCAAGAGCAGCAGTGTACTGGGCAACCTGCAGGGCTCGCGACCGCTTGCAAAGGGCCTTATGTCTACCAGGCTGCGTGGTGATGAATCGCGACCAAGCATCCCAGTCCACGTCCGGACTAGGCAAATCCACAGTCTTCCAACACCACGAGAAAAGCCAGACCAGGTCCCCGTGGACCATAGTGGCGTACGGAGGATCTGATCGCACAGCGGCCCACAATTCCGCGGGGCCACTGCGAAACATTTGGCCTAAGGAGGACAGCCTGGAGTGCCGAAGCAGTGTGCGGGGGTCAGGCAGCTGCAGAATCGCAAAACACGTGGCCGCTGTGATCCGTTGGTTTGGCTCTTAAGGCCCTGGTTACCGAAAAGCCGACGCTTGGCCGCTCTGCTGCGGCTGCCGCACCGAAAGAAAGCCGGAATCCAAAGGCATAGGCACGCTTCCACACCGGATGCGTCAGCACACTGGCGCGGAGTAGCAATGTCATCCGCCCAGGTAACCTCCTGTACCCGGATGGTACCTGAATCTGCGCTGCAAGGTGCAAGCGTGCGACAGCCGTCCCAGGGAAGCTCTGGACTGCGAGGCTGGGAATCCAGCTGCTGAAGGAGATTGAAGGAGCATATTGCGGTGTCGGAAGATGCGGGGCATAAGCATCGCGAACAAGATGTCCGCCCACGAACTACCTGGCCGGGTGCCACGTGCGGTGGAAATCGGAGTACTGTCCTGGGCTAGAAGGAACCAGTTATCGCTCCCAAT